GTGGTCGTGGTCGTGGTAGTAGTAGTTGCAGCAGCACCGGCGCTAGCACTAGTACGCACATGTACGCACCTCGAGCAGGGACTCCTATGCGCGACGTGACAATCGCGAGCTGACTGCGTGGCATTTTTAGCACTTGTCGTCAGAAGCAACAATGACATGTTGCCAGCACCGTTTTGTTGAGACCCAATGTTGGACCACCACCCGCAAGCATGTACGGATGCTACCCTGACTGTACCGCAGCGTCTGTAGCTCCAGCCTTTAGTTGAGGCCGCTATATACCTCGGACTGCAGAGAATGCTTCATGACAAATAGATGTTTTCGCGAAGATAGCACTGACACTACCACTGCTACTGAGTACTACCACTGCCAGCGCCAGTAGGGCGGTGGGATATTGACGTTTGCTTTTGCCACTCACACACATTCTCTGAAACTCAGCCGCCCTGTTGGCTCTGCAGTTCTCCTGCGTCACTGAACCCATACCTCAAGTTACTGAACCTATTTCTCATGTCAGCTTGGCTGAGCGTTGCGCTGGCCGCAGTACTGTTCTGCCGACGAATTCATGTTCGCTTGGCTCTGGAACTCCGACACTTAGACAGTCACTTATGGGTGACTCGCTGAATTCTTTCGGTCTACTCTCGGTCTAAAGCTTGGACATGCCGTTAAATTTTCTTTGTTCCCATGGGTGTAGGTTTAGGTCTTTGCGGTAGGTTGTCTAAAAACTGCATGCATTCATTCTTGAAGCTCGAGCCTGAAACCCAAAGCACAACAAAGGAACTTGCGCAAAAACCAGCAAACACGGAAATATGAAGATGCTGATGGCAATGATGACGCAGCTGCCTATTTGGAGACAAGATCGCAACATATGAAGCTGTTGCTTTTCGTTGCAGCCAGAGCGCTTATTCTCGTTGCATTTGGTGTTGTTGTCGTCTTCCCACAGTATTGAGCGGTTGAACCAACCAGGCGCCAGCATTGCCAGGTTGATTGCTGTTTCCGAGTTTTGCCCCCAAACTCGCCATCTGCAAAACCGGTATCTTGACAGCAAACAAACTCGGAGATGCTTTGCTGGTTTGCGCGTCTCCTGTCTCGGCAGAAATGCTTGTGCCTTGCCGCGACAAAGCTTCTGTTGCTTACGAAACACGTCAGTTGATTGCCGCGGGAGGAGTCGTTTCAAAGCACCGCATCCTCTGTGGCCCTCGTTTCTTTGATCGTGATGGCACTGCTGGCAGCGGGCCGCACCCTGAGCTTGGCCCGACATTTGCCACATGCCTACCGGGCCTACCTGCATCAGAGCTGCAAAGCCTAGGCACTGCCGGCCAGTCGGTGACGACTATGCTCACCACGCTTGCACTGGCTCTCATTGGTGGTGCACAGGTCGTTTATGGCGCCGGAGCCCCGGGGCCAGGGCCGGGAGAGCACAGCAGGAGGACAGCACCTGAGTCTCCGTTCCAAGGTTGTGCCAGCTCTGCACTCGCCTCTGATGTCGGTCACTAATGCCATCTCTGGGCTAACAGTTGTTGGCGGCATCCTCATGATGGGAGGAGGCCCGGTCTACAGAATTGGGAGGAGCGGAAGACAAGCCCAGAAAGTTCCGTCAGGCTACATGCCCGAGACGTTGCCTCAGTGGCTGGCAGCTGCTGCTGCACTGATCTCCATGGTCAATGTAGGCGCATGGCAAGCATCTAAGCACATAATCTCTTTAGCGTATGATGTGCCCGAGTGGGATTCTGTACCCCCCACTTCAGTTTCCATGTCGTTTCGCAGCCTGAAATATCTCGCAGGTGCAGTCTTCAGACATCTTCAGACCGTTGCAAAAACACAGCCCACCCTGTCTGCAGGCGGGGGCTTCGTCATGACCAGGCGCATGATCGACATGTTCAAGCGAGAGACAGACGTGGCTTGGTTTGTGTCGGCAAGTGATTTGAGCTAACGTGATCGTGATGGACTTGAAATGCTCAGGTGTCCCAGTTTGCGGAGATGTACGCTCTTCCAGCTGCGCTTTTCGTTGGCCTCTATGTGGCTGGCACTTCCCTTGGATACATGGACTTGGCTTCTGATGCTTGGTACGTCCTGAGGTTATATAGTGATCAGATTAGATGGCAGCAGCCGAGCTTTCATCAGCTTTTCTAGAGAAGGTACGTGGTTGTAGATTTGCGCTGGATTTGTACCGCATGGAATGTGGTTCGTACGGCCTGGCAAGAGTCCTTTCTGTAGTTCTTTGAGCCGAACATGTGCTTCAAACTTTGCGGTGTGAGGAGAGCCAAATGGTCTACCTCGTCTCATCTCTGATGTGCATCGGGGCCATCCATGGGCTGAGCTCCCAACAGACCGTTTCTCTTCTGCAAAAATGCTGGTGATCCATCATGTCGGCTCTCGGAGACTCAACTGCCTGATATTGCGACATCTGTTCAGGACCTGTTGATTACACGATCTCGTGGGGGTCATGGCTTGTTACATATTGTGAGCTGTTGCTGAGGCCTCTGTGGTGATCTCTCTGTGTAAGAAGAATCTGTTGTCTCAGTCGCCGCGGGAGCCTGTTCCGGCTCTCCCTGGCGCTCAAGCAGGCTTTGTGGATCTCCCGGAAAGTGACACGAGGGCCTTCCGACCAAAACTGGAGACCCAACCCAAATGACCCAAACCCTAAACCAGGAAGCAAAGCTGAGGCTCAGTTCGGCAATGCCATGGGTCTTAGCGGCGTGGTGGGTGCCCTGGCGGGCACACTCGGCTTGGCCTATGCTCAGGCTGGTCCGGAGTCGGAGACAGGTCCCCACAAAAGCAGTGATGGGTGGAGATGTGTGTGTGTGTGTGTGCGCGCACACATGCATGTCGGTGTCTAGGCAAGCTGTATGTAATGTACATAACTACAGCAAGTGCAGGGTACCTTTCGGTTCGGGCTCAACCGTTTATGAACCGGATACCGTTCATGACGGTTCGGGTCGAGCTGTTCGTTCGGCGGTCCGCGCGGTTCTCTATTGGCTTTACTATTGAGACCCAAGTTTCGTCCCCGCTTTTTCCTTGCATCCGGGAGGGAGTGTCTGCTTTATTAGCATATTATATTGCTTGCGGCTAGTAGGGAGCGAAGAGAGTTTATCATTCAGGCCGTCCAAAACGCCTGGGAGCGACGGGGCAGAGTGTTTTTGAAGCCTTCCAACAAGCACTTTGCTTGCGGCTCGGAGGGTTCTGCTACTTACAGTAACAGTAGCAGTATACACAAAAACTCATGAACAAATAAATAAGGTATATAAGTAAGTTAAAATAAACAAATAACAACAAAAACACGACATATATGTATAAAGCTATAAACTATATACATATGTATACAGAAGGGACTGCCATGGGGCCTGGTTTTTGCACACCACAGAAGGCTATACACACATGCTGATACAGACGAAGGCACGTATCTGCCTGTCACTCTGTCTACATGTCTGTAAAAGTTAAGCACATGGTTTGGATTTGTTACTTACACTGCGACCTGCATGTCAATGTCGGCTTTTGTGGGTTGTGTGCTGACGTAGTGTAATCTGCCTCGGTGTTTCCTTTTGCAGCTGCTGACTGAGTTTTCGAAACGTTCATCCGCTTGGGGCCTGTAATTCTCACAAAGAGTGGACCAACGCAATTTAGAAGCCGAAAACGAACATGGCCCCCGCCCCCGCGGCCAGGGAGCTGGTGCCGCGGTGCTGACTCAAATCGCAGCTTGAATGCAACTTTCGCTAACCCGATTGTATCCTGGTGGTTGCTTCCGCTTGGATGGAGCTGCTGGGAGCCACCGGGTCCGGGTCCAAAGGGCCTAAAATAGGCTGGGTAAGTAAGTCATCGCTGTCTCCAATTTCCGCTCGCCGATCCCTTGCCTTTGTGACTCATACTGCAGTATACCGCATTGACTAGTACGAGAAGGACAGTTGGTCATACAGCGAGGTCCATTCTAGCTGGGACATTGCAAGCTACAGTTTAATCTACTGAGACCACCATCACCAAACCCCAACGTTCCGAGACCCCAGCCCCTAATCTCTAACACTGAAAGGCTTAGGCTCTACTTCAGCCTCCCAAGGCCACCGTCCTCGCAACTGGCACGGCCTTGGGCATGGCCGTAGCATCCCAGGCGCCTTGCCTTCGGAGCCTGTGCGGGGAGATCCGAAACCGTGCATGTCTCTCGCATGGACTTGAGAAATGTGTCGTAACCAACGAGTTATTGTCTTTGTGTGACTGGTTGTCAATTGTCCATTGAGCCGCCCACCGACGCAGCTTGCATGTAACTCTTCTGCTTCGCAGTTCTGACTTCTGACGCGCTTACATCCACTAGTGCGAAGAAGCCCTCATCAGTCGGGCCCTGCGGCCACCCTGCACCTCTGCCAGTCAGTAAGTTGAGTGCAGCAAGATCTTCTTCAGCGCTTCATTGAGACAGGTGGAAATCACAGCCCTTCCTCAGCTGGTGGCGGCCTTCCACTCTCTTGTAGGCATGGTCCCCGGTGCCCGCGAACCTCTTTGCCATTTGCTAGTTCTGTGGTGGATGGGTTCGAGGATACAAGCAAGTCCTTGTCAGAGATGATCTGCAGCCTGTACGGCTCGTGTGTGCCAGGAGAGAGCTTCAGGTAGTGTTAAGGCTTCAGGAACACTCTCCAAAGATCCTGTGTATCCTGGCCCAGAGAGCCGCAACCGGCCCGTAGAACACCGGAGGACTCAGGCCGAGGCTCAAAGCTGGATATCTGAAGATTCCCGAAAATCCCTCGAATAGGTCTGGCTGCTTCTCTGACTGCAATCGCCTCCGCGCTGCAGCAGCCAGGGGCAGATGCCATGTACCGGGGCACCGATACATAAACTGGGAGATGCGTGCCACAAATTCTCTGCCGCCCCAAAGCAACTTGCACCACCGGTGGACAGATGAATAATAAGTAATTACCAAGCATTTATAAAGGGGGGGGAACATGTTTGATGCCGATTGACTCGACCGACTTAGCTGAATACCTTGCCACCAGGAAAGATTCCATGTGCTCATAGACCCGACGTTGGAGCTTTCTGTGAGCGATGCGCGACTCCCGCCTTCGCAATTCTTAGTGTTTGGGTGTCACCGCGACGGCTTCCATCACACGCTCACCACTCTGAGCGGGGCACCGCGGCGCATCGAATATACCTCCAGGCATGCCACATCCGAGTACCTGGCCAGTGGCATCGGCGCGTTGACGGCGTCTTAAGCTGCAAAACATATCACTGTCTTAGGGTGTCGGGAGTCTGCAGCACGTACAACTTTGCAAGATGCCTCTGAGGCTGAAGGAGGTTGGACAGGTAAGCCTCAATGTAGATCGCAGTGTTGTCGAGCTGCGTCATTTTTCGACGATGCAGTAGCGAGCGCCAAGGTGACCGGGTCCATGGTCGCTTTTGCCAAGCTCCAGGGCTTGGTGGGTGGCAACGCGAGCATCCCCGGTGGCAATGTGCCTGTGGCATCAACATTAATTGATTTCCGTGGCACCTCATATAGGGCTACCTTGGACTGAAGATGTGCCGGCTCCACCGAAACCTAGGCACTGTCCGGATCCTTGACCGCAGCCTTTGCTGCAGGCGGCCATGGAATGAGTTGCAGCTGGCAGAAGTAAACCGCTAAGAATATCAACCCCGCCCGCCGAATCGACACCAGTCTCTGCCCTTCAGGGCTTTGGGCCTACCTCAACCCCATGCCCGGCATGGAGATCCCAACGCTGGTGTTGGGCACCGCAGCCGCGGCCGGCATGGGCCTGGTGGTGACGTCGCAGGCCGGGCAGCAGTCGGAAGCTGAAAGGCGCTAGAGCAGAGTCCAGATCAGAGCAGGTCGGAGGCGCTGATATGCCGGTGGCCATCACCCTCCTGAACAGTGCCTCTGGTTGGGCCCTGACGGCAGAGGGCTTCGTACTCTCCAACAACCTGCCGCTTCTCCAGCAGCCTAATCGCCCCATCTCGAGGTTGTTTCAAGGTATGAAGATGAAGAAAGCGTAGGGGCATCGAACATGTTTTTCAGCGACGTCTAGAGTACAGGGCCTAGCGAGGCTTGTAGCCGTGAACTCGGTGCTGTTTGCCCCAGGCTGACCATTGTCGGAGCCCTCATCGGCTCTTCTGGTGCTATTCTTAGTCAGATCATGTGCGAGGCGGGTCGCGTACAAGGGCTTCCAATTCTTGTACACTGCACATTGTCCGTGGCGTGAGTGATTTCCCAGTTCGTAAACGCTGCACCACAAATAGGACGCTGTTCAGAAACCAGGGAAGCCATGAGAAGAAGCAGACATCCGAAGGCAATGAATCGCAACATCCTCGAAGTCTTGGGTGTGACCTCAAAACCCAAGACGCAGAGCGATTCCACCTATCAGAAGCTTGGCTTTGAGCACTGGATGGGGTCTCCCAAAAACGGAACTGTTGGAAGCTATCATTGAAGTCACCCGGCTGGTTGTTGAACGGAGGATCGAAGGCGAGGTGACAACTACGAACAACGATCACGTGGCCGATCTCTTGGCGACGGCCAAGAAGGCGCGGAGCCGTCTCACAAAAAGGCCTTTCTCTGACCAAGTTACGTGTATACTACAGTCACAGCATGACCCACATTTGTGAAAGCTGATGCGGTTCTGGTTGCCTACTTTGGTCCTTAGTCAGGAGAAAGGTTTGCCCTGAGGCTTCATACACCACCTATTGCTTGAAGCGGGCTGAAAGTGTGATTTCTGTGATCGAACAGGTCGTCATCGTTCCAGGCTACGGTGTTGCTGTATCCAAGGCCTCCTGTTCAAGCTTTCGCACTCCACAGACTTGCTCAGAGTGTTGGGGCAGCATGCAAGACCTGCAAATACCTGTTAGGCTCAATATGCCCTAGCGCAGCTGCTGGAGATGCTGACACAGTGGTGGACTCAGCGCCATGCAGTGACGGCCCGGATGGATCTGCTGTACGCAAGGAACGGTACGGACGTGAAGGTCGCCATCCACCCAGTGGCAGGTCGAATGCCTGGGCAGCTGAACGTGCTGCTGGCAGAGGCAGGCGTGCCATATGATCAGGCCAGGCTCCCCGAAGCGCTTCTCCGTGATCTCCGTGGCTTGCAGAAGATGTGTTCGGCGGATACTTGCAAGAATTTCGATCCGTGCCGCACTGACTGCACCACTTACCCCTTCGAAGCTCATTCGTGAGCTGCGGATGGTCGTCAGCTACCGTGCTGCGAAGCTCGTGTCCACGCTTACAGACCATTTTTCAAATTGATTGTGTTTGAGTGTAACGCTTGCTGTAACATTCGTGCTTGCACAGGTCCTAGAGATGGATGAGCTGAATGATCCTTCCGACTGGGAAGATGTGGACGTTTCACTGGTCGTCGGCGCAAATGATACAGAAGCTGGACCGCAAAGGCTTCGGTATCGTATTATGGATTGAGATTCAACCGTCATTGCAGAAAGGCAGAAAGGCCGCCTTCCTCAGGCGCCCCTTAAACTAAAGACAAAACCCCTGCACCTCTCGCTTCCATTCCGGTTGCTCAGCTGCGCCCGCACTCCCTTTCCAACCCTTAGCCGAAGGCTTTGTTCATTCGCAGGACTGATGTGCTAGAGAGGCGACATTGTCAGGATGTTGCTTCTATTTCCGAACGAAGGCTGCTGAGGTCCTCCCAATCTAGCGAAGTCCCCGGCAGACTTCACTCGGCACTGGAAGACTGCCTACTAGGCTCGCAACAGTTGGGGTGGCATTTAGGAGGGGTCTGCAAGAATGTCAAGGCTCAGAGTACATTTTCTGGACGTTGGGCCTTGCATTTCCTTGCGGGAGGATGGTTGCTAAGGTCAACTCATTGGCAGAGGACGATCCGAACAGTCCGATTGCAGGAATGCCTGTTATCCGACCCTTAGCTTCACTCTGCCTTACTGTTTTTGTTTGCCGACTCCTCACCGCCTCTTGGCGCTCTGTGGAGGTTGCTGCGGTTGCTTCTTGCTAGCCAGATCCAGCTTGCAGATACGTAATTTGCTCTGAAGGCGTCTGGTTGGCGAAGAAATGCATTGTCGTAAAGCGCTCCCTGGGAGTGGGCTATGCGGCCTTGGACAATCCGGTCTTCTACAAGGAGTGCAAAGATGTGAAAAGCTTCGAAGTGCGCCTCCAAACCCGCGTCATTGAGTGTAATCGGTTCTGCGTGAGATGAATAGTGTGTTGTCTGGCGCCTCGGCGTAGTTTTGCGATTCATTGGCAGCACACGCTGGCCTCTTTGCTTCGATTCTGGATTCAAGCCTGGTTTTGCATCATGTCCAGAGATGGGGTCAGAAAACTCAGAGAGGACCACACCGACATGCTCCTCGGTGACGCAAAAGAGGTAGGACAGTCGTTGGAAGAGCTTGTGCACACAAAGCTGCACCGGCTTTAGATCTAGTGCCAACAGAAATCTGTTGGTCTCGTTTCTCGAAACTCGAGTTTCGCATGAAGGACTGAGGTTGGTAGTGTGTTGTAGCCAAGAGAACGGCATGTTCCATGTGCAGCCACCCTCAAAAAGGCGGCAAGAGGACGCCCAGGGCTCAAGTTGGCTTGCAAAGTCAAGCAATGCTTGTCTTCAAGCCATTCTCAATACTCGCAGGCTTCATGAACACAGCTGATGCCGGGCCTGTCAGTCGCCAACTTCTAGCTCCAGCTTGCCTCCACATGCGTCTCTGCTGTGGTCGAACCCTGCTATCTTGCCTGCGTGCGTGGCAGAACAGATGCCCTGCATAGCTCAAAGTCTTTAACTTACTTTTTCAAGCGCGGCAGTGGAGGTTTAGAGTGACAGGTCCAGTTTCCGAGGTCCCAGATCTTTGCTGTCGCAAGTTCCCCTCAGCAAGCCCCCGAGGATCCTCGCCACTCTCAAGTGTTGATCCGTCTTCCGTTTACGACAATCGAATGTAGCAATGTGCTTCAGCAGTCCTCATTCTTCTTTTCTCGGGCGGTGGTGCTGTTTGCAAGTTACTGAGGCAGGGCCCATTTGTAATGCTGAAACGGCCCAAGCTCAATTATGCGTGAGTGCCCACTGGTGCACTTTCATGGAAAGTGTGGGAGCAGCAAGGGCTGGTCAAAACGAGGTGGCGACCAACTAGTCACTTGGCCCTCTGACAATCCGGGTATAGGCCCAGTACATAGCTAGACAGCTCTGGCTCTCTTCACAAAGCCATTAAATCACAGGTGCTGACTGTTGACCTCCGCCTGATTCGCCAACAACGTCAGGCTTACTAGGGGCTAGCCATTCCAGTATGCAAAAACGAAATGGTACCAGAGAAGTCGACACTTGCAGTTTCTACTTCTTCGATGTGACAGTCTCTGAACATTCATAGCGATCGCCATACGAATGCTTGCAGGATTGGCAGTTGAGACTGTCGTCAATGATGCTGCTGATGGCGGCGACACCGCTATCAGTGATTGTTGTTACCATTCCTGTGATACTTACTGCTGATTGGCCCTTGCTGCTGATGATGAAGATGAAATTGATAGTGATGATGCTGACGATGGTGATGATGGTGATGATGACGACGACGAGGATGATGATGATAATGGGGAGGAGGCTAATTATGATGAGGGGTCGATGATGATGACGACACCCGTCAGTGGGGTCAGAGGATGTCACGGGGAAGCTAGGATTCCTGAAGATACATTGCCGCGAGCAGGAACTGCAGATTGCTGGCAAGCACGTCACGCAGTTTGTCCACGACATGTGCTTTGGCTCCACCAGCTGTGGCTATCACTCTGTTTCATCAGGCGGACGCGTTGCATAGCGCTGGACGCCCTAAATGGGAGTACCGAGGATCTGCGACCGCGGGGAGTGCAGGGCTGAGGTTGGCGAAACATAGCGAAACTGAGTCTTGTTCTGACAGGGAGTCGAGAGGCTCCAAGATGGCTTAGGCCTGTCCCTGCCGAGCAGCGCATGGATGCGGCTAGGCAGATCAAGGACGAAGCCTGCCACCCTGAACTGGACGCGGTCCCGGGAGCTCTTTGCTTCCTGTGCAAGGAGAAACACGCCTATCTCTGCAAAGATGTGGTGACCGGGGCTCTGTTGCAGGGCCATCGGCCCAACCCGTGAGTTTTTCATCTTCATTCGCCAGAATTGATTAAGTTTATCGACAGCAGATGTGCATCACTGATTTCTCGCAGTCTCGTGGCTCATGGACAGTCATATCTCTGTCATCAGCACCACTGACGACAGTCACCGCTGTTCCCCACCTGCCATCATCTTAGACCCGTGCCATTATTCTTTTGATGTTGTAACGTAGTCCAAGGGGAAGAAGCAGATAAGCAGCACACGCAGTCTGACAGTCTCAGTCGTCCCGTTAGCAGTCATTGACCTCGTCCTCCTCGATATTGTTCTCCTCGTCTTCGTCCTTGTCGTCGTCGCCGCGTTGCAGCCGTCGTTGTGTGCAGTTGCAGTCGCCAGGTCGAAGAGTATCAGAAGTTTGACCAGGCATCTGCTCTCGGGGTTGAAGCTTCCGGGACTTACGAGAAAAGTCCAAGCATGTCCAAGCCTACGCGTGCAGAATGACAGGTTAATGCAGTGGCAAGCCTGCATGTGGCCCCCCCGACCCGTTTGTCTAGTCTCGTCAAACTGCGGCTTGCCTCCACGCTAAGGTGCCCTGGAAATTGGCAGTGCGATTAACTCTCAAAGCAAACCTTCACGATCCCCAGCGCTCCTTGGGCAGGACTCGCGGAGATTCAAGACTTTGCAGGGGCACTTCCAGAAGACGAAGCAGGCTGTGGCTCACGGTGGAGACGAGAGTTCTTCGTTCTCGAAGAGTGTGGACAATGCATTATAGTCAGGACTGGAAGATTCAGATTGGCTACGAGCGCTTCCTGGCTCCTGAGGTGTGTTTGCCTAGTGTCGCCTAGTAGTGGTTTTTGTTCAGGCCTTGTCCTTTCTGGGCTGGGCCCTCTTTAAGGGGCGGAAGCCTTCAGACCTTTGTTCTCAGATCTTCTTCCATCCGGAGATCTTCGTTGATGGGATGACGACCCCTCTGCCGCAGGCAGTGTGCCGCCTTGCTATGAGTTTGCGATGTTTGCGTCACAGAACCCGTGACGAAGGTCGTCGATGACTGCATCTCGCAGTGTCCCATCGACTACCGCCGCCGGTCTTGGACTCAGCGGCTGGCCATGTATTTCCCCAGTTGCAGCAGTTCTGGGAACTTCCGAGCTGCCAGGCTCTACAGCAACGTTGTGCTTTCTGGAGGTTCCACAGCTTTTCAGAACTTCAAGGCCAGCCCTGGGCGCATGCCACCGGCGCTAGCAGATGCGGGCTGATGGCTGTTATGTTTCGATGCTTTGCCTCGCCAGACAGCCGGGATTTAAATAGCAAGCCGAATACTATGGCTGTTCCTAGCTTTTGCCATTTTGCAGGTAACGTCATCACCATCAGATTCATGACCTATTACTAGTCTTGCCATGGCTACTGCCGTTGTTAGTGTGTGGACAGTGGCGTTATTCCTACTGCTCCTGGGGCTTACGAGCAGTAGAGGAAATGCTGATATTGCGTTGCCGTTGCCGTTGCGGCTGTTGCTGTTGCTGTTGCTGTTGCTGCTGCTGTTGTTGATGTAGCCATCATCGCGCTCGCGGTGTTCTCTCAGAAGTGCTCGTCAGGAACGCTTGCAAAAAGATGTGCAGCACCTCGTGGACGAGCGGCTACAGAAGGCGAGCAGAAACTTTCTCGCACAAACCTGAACGAGTATTCTTTTCAGTTCTTATAATTTCTTACTCGTATCCCGACGCCGCAAATCAAATCGAACGTACCATCTTTACATGTGCCAGTGCCTAGCGCCCACTCTCACCTCTGCTCTGGTGCAGGCGGAGCTGAGCACTGGCCGGCGGCCACAAGACATCGAGGCAGCACCAACACAACATCTGGGCGTTTGCCGGTTCAGCATGTACGAGGTTTCATCGCTAGCCGTCTTCGGATTTCGAGCGTTCAGCAAAGATGACGATTCTGGTACTGGAACGGTTGAAAGGCGCCAGTTACATGGGCGTACGATTACCTCAGAGTAGCAGTCAGCTTCGGGATAACTCTCTTGCTGACAGGTCCTTGTGCACGGCAGCAAGAAGAGAGCGCAGCAGCCAGCGACCAATGCGTTGGTGTGAGAGGATAAGTAATGACCAGCAATTTTGCCCTATTCACGCAATACTCTAGTCTAGGCGCCCCTTCAACACCCCAAGCTCTAAGCGGAATTCGGCAGAACCGATGTGATGAGTCGAGGGGTGCCCCCGAACACCTTGAAAGGGATGGCTTTCCGAGCGAGGGAGACGCCCCTCCTAAGCTAGCTTTACGCAGTCTACACGGATAGGGGAAGATTATACTCGACAGCAAGCCCTTTGTGCCGTCAATGTGGATGTCTCCTCCGTACAGTGGTTGCTGTGATCCCCTTTTCACGGCAGCTTCTGAGGCGCTATGCTGCCTGGCTGGGAGGCTCTCTCCTCGCACAGGCGCACGCAAGGGCGTGGGACGGCGGCAGAACCGTTCTTTTGTGCACTTGCGGACTTGGGTGAAGGCATTCTTGGTGGCATTCTGATCATTCTGACGTCGTTGGCCAGCTCGTCGTGCATTGGATACCCACAGCGCCCACATCATCAACATCATTGCGTCTTGGGGTAGCGAGAGGTGGTGGTAGTAGTGGTGGTGGTGGTGGTCGTGGTCGTGGTCGTCGTGGTCGTGGTGGTGGTGGTGGTAGCAGTAGTAGTAGTAGTAGTAGTAGTAGTAGGAGGAAGAGGAGGAGGAGGAGGGGTAGGAGTAGCAGTAGCAGTTGCAGTAGCAGTAGCAGCAGCAGCAGCAGCAGTAGCTATAGCAGCAGCAGTAGCTATAGCAGACTCTAGCAGTAGCAATAGTAGGACGGAGTGGGACCGGGACGGGACTTGAAGCTGTGGGACAAGTAGGAGTAGTAGGTGGAGTAGGCGCAGGAGGAGGAGCGGGAGGAGCACGAGTAGAAGGAGGAGGGCACAGTATTATTGTTGTCGTAGAAGCCGGGGCGACCTGACCACTTGGCCAGGAAGCCATTTTCTCGAAAATGGTGAAGACAAAGCGTGAGTACGAGGAGGCCAGGGGTCCCATGGTGCTATTGAATCTGCTAGTGACATGCACGGGGACATGCTGAGGTCGGCCCAGCCTGTATGCGGAGCAGCCCAGTAGTAATGGGCTGAGCAGCTCCAGTCCTGGAGGTAAGCACGAGGCCGAATCAGACGTTTCCACAGCTGATTCGAGCCCTCAAGACTCGAAGATGCTTGCACTTTCCTCTCCCGCTCAAAGTCGCAGCGGATTTGGACATAGGTAGGTCATCATTCCTCCTGGCTGGACCAGCCTCGCATCTCGTGCTGTGGCTGTGATCGATTGGCTGGAAAACACAGGCGAACATTAGTTGAGCCATCTTGTCATGTTGGGACCATGATGTGTTTCTGAGTGCTGAAGACCTCTACGGCAGCAAGAAGGAAAGAGCGTTGTCGGCCGCTTGCGTTGGATCCGCTGCAGCATCTCGGGCTCTGTACATGAAACATGCACGTTTTTGAAGCTGTACATGTACACATGAAGGCAAACACGCGGTATGCATTGCCACGTTTGCATATGTACGGTCGTGCATGTATGTCTTCGTTGTCGCTTTGCCTGGTTTCTTCTTGGCTTGTGCTCTCCGCCTTCACCGTGACTTCACTGCACCATGTCCATTTACAGCTCTCATCTTGCAGCCTTGCGGGTGCTTGTACTTGCGGCACGTGTGGAAGCCATGGCTTGGCCGTTTCGTAGCCGCTGGGAAGGCGCCCTGGCATTCAGGGAGCCCTCTGAGTTCGCAGGATGAGAAGATTCAGAAAGGGAACAGAAACAGAGACATGGTGACAGCAGGAACTCCAGTACTCGTACATGCGGTGGCGAAGTCAACCGGACGGGTTGCAGGGTCTTCCTTTCAGGTCCGGTGGGAGTCTCTGTTCACATCGTAACCAGTCGTCCGGTACCGACGGCTAAGGACGAGAAGTCGAAGATGTGGAGCAGGGCCAGAGGACCAGAAGCAACGAACAGAGCCTCAGCTCAAGAGGAGGGCCGCTGAGCAGGTTTGTGGCCACATGTGATTTTGAGCCATGACTACCGCTTTGCTATCGTCTAATTCTAGTAGTAGTAGTCGTCGTAGTAGTAGCAGTGCTGCTAGTGGTGGCGGTGGTGGTGGTGGTGGTGGTGGTGAGCAGTGGTGAGCTAGTGGTTAGTAACGGTATGGAGTGGTATCTAGTGGTATGCAGTGAGTATGCAGTGGTATGTGGTGGTAGGAGGAATTATTCTTACTAGTAGAAATGGAAGCAGCAGCAGGAGGAGGAGTACGAAGAGAAGGAGGGAGGAGGAGGAAGAGGAGGAGGAGGAAAAGAAGACGAGTATTTATGCTATTACGACGGCCAGTTATACTTTCACGAGAAGGTATGATTGTTCTGGAGTTATCTCGTTAGCCTGGAATTAACCGCCCGTGCCCGACATTACCTAGAGCAACGGCGCGGTGTGATCCCGGCACAAGCCCCTCGAGACCATCTCGGTTTGAAGACTTGAGGAACCGTAAACGTCCCTAATACCCTTGCCTGATCCGCTTCTGGAGATGTCTGTGATCATTTGGGAAAGCGGTCCGAGGTCTAGCAGTGGCCCTGCACAGATACTCGCCGCTAAGCTGATGCTTCTGTTAGCGGCCACCTTCTTACTCGTGTCCCCGGCGTTGAAGTCCGACTGGGCCGTTTACGTCCTGCACCTTGGCTTGCATTGCTTGGAGCCTGTAAACTGTGTGGGTTCGGCCTCTCAGCTCTCAGCACGTGATAGTCGTCCGAGGCCCTACGCAGCGTTCCAGCTCCTGCTCCTCACGATTCTCTTGATAAAGGGCGTTTGCACAGACACCCCGCAACAGAAGGGCCGAAGTGTTCAGTTTCGGATTTGGGCCCGGCTGCCAGTGGGGGAAGGCACGGAAGGGGGGCTCACTGCGGAGGCCGGGCCGGCCGGGCCGGCCGGGTCCGAGTTCTTTGTGCATCGGATTGCTCGGGTTGGGGGACAGAAGGGCGCATCGGATTGCAAGACGGTCATCGAGCGGACCGAGCGGACCGGCGTGTCCTCGGCCAAGATGGCTTGTGCGTGTCCGAGGCCCAGGCTCGGTCCCTGCTGCATTTGCATGGAAGATCCAGAAGTGGCCTCAGCCCTGTTACCTTGCGGGCACACTTTCTGCGAGCCCTGCATCGCTCAGTGGTCGATGTCGGGTTCCGACTACAGCAGCAAATGCCCCGTTTGCCGTGCGGACTTTGGAGCCAACACCCTTGATGGCGCAGACGCATAGCAGCGTTCACAAAGGATGAACGGCTTCACTGTTCAACTCTTTGTTTGCTGCAACACCGAGGGTCCTATCGGCAGTCAGAACATCTTCCGGAGTTTCCATTGCTGTAAGTTGACCTTGCAGCAGATGACAGCATTTATTCGTTCGTTGCTGGGACCCTGCTTCGTGCACCTGCGAGCCCCGCCGCGCAGCTGATTTCGGGCCGACCCCACCTGAGAGATCTGTGATAGCTTCGAGGGAACTCGATGAGCTAGCAATGTTGTTCACGAAGCTGTTGCAGTTGGTCTGCGATCGTGGCAAGGGCTTCCATGGTTTGACACAGCGGTGGTACCTCTTCGGAAAACGGAGAGCTGCCGGACCTGTGCTTATAAATTTGAACTCAAAATTTTAGATTGCAAGCAAAATCTCTGGGCACCCGCTTGTAGTGGCGTCGGTATGCGTCGGTGAAGTGCATTTCGGTTCCCGTAGTACGAGTCAGCTCAAGCGTGCAGGTTGGTCACTTAGAGCTGCTGGTCAACCGACCGGAAGAGTTGCAACCTAGCAACAAAAGCTCAGGATAGCTCAGGCTGCGTTGCCATGGCAGGTGGCTCAGAGGATTGTTTTAAGGCCTTTCGCTGGTTCCCCCTGCTTAAGCGATCTGGGAGCCTGTCCCTCGAAATGGTACATTGCACATATCACGGCTCTCGAAAAGAATTAAGAATCTCTCTTGAACCAGGAGCATCAGAGTTTAAGAATGCTGGCAGTTGGACGACGAAGGCCCCGACGTGGCCTTGGTGACATCAAAAAACGCATAGCTGAGTGGTTAGCTGCTAGAGCCTGTGACCAGCTGGCTGGCATCTTGATGCTGTTCCCGGGCAAGCCACCGTTTGAATGGCAGGCATGTCTGTTGGTCCGAGCGCCGCGATACAATTGTAAGAGAATTCGTTTGTTTGGGGACAAGTCCCATCTCTGCAGCAGTCTCCGGCTCCGGAAGACGACTGGTTTAGAGTCGGAGCGAGCCACACGAGCAAGTTCTTATTGAGAAAATGGTGCAGCAGTCAGGACGAGGATGGCTTTCGCAGCCTTGTCTTGCTTTGTGGCATTTTGTGGCTTCATCTTTTCGTCTGTGTCGGACTAGCAGGGCCAGGAATGCGCCGCTTTTTTTGGCCCAACGTGCGACGCTCCGAGGGGGCCACCATGTCACTGTCGGATGAGGCTTTCCTGCACGTGCCGGCAGTGCTGATTGAGAGCTTGTGTCCTTCACTTATGTGGGACTCTGTATGTACGGACCGACCGTGTATTCGGTGCGGTGTAAAGTTGACAGTTTCAGCATGTTGTATTGTTGGCATGCGCGCTTAACGCATCCCAAAGACAGGTGGCGTGGGGTCGTGGGTTCAATCTCAAAAGCCCGTACCCCGTTTTGCATTGCGGAAGCCGCGTTGCAACATGGTATGTGCCAAGTTGGAAGCATGTCTTTCTTGGACAATTTGCCAGCAACCGACCAGTGGAGTTACCCGAAGCTGCTTGACCTTATCCGCTTCAAGTCAAGTGGGAATGCCGTTCGCCGTTTTGGTACAGGCATTTAAAGTCCAAGCGACACCCAAAAGCTCCCGCTTGATTGCAGGAGGCATCCTGCGGACCCGAGGACAAGGCAGCAAAGTGAGTACTCGCGAAGTCCTTCAGGAGTTGAGGGTCAAGGACCATGTCGACTTTAAATGCTGCACTTTGCCGAACCCCAAACGTTGAAATCTATGATGTGAACGCTTCCCGGTCTTGTATGGGACTTGTCTACGCTGCAGGTTTGACACGGACCTTAAAAAGTGTTTCTATTCAAAACAAAGGTTGAAAAGGAGTCATCCTGATTATGACAAAGAGCAATCTTGGAGCATATGGCCTGCGTCATCAGAGACCCGACCTCAACGAAGCTATGACGGTTCAAGGCATCCGAAGCTCGCCAGGCCTTCATCCGAATTTCCGAGCCACGCGAGCAGTTCGAGGGCAAAGAGGCTCAGCTGAAGCACCGAGCGCAAGGTATGTTGTGTCTGACATTGCTTGACTGTGCAGGCATATCTGGACGTCCGAGAGAGGCTACGAGATCGACATAGATCGGAGCAAAATGAGGCGGCAACTGTCAGCGTGAGAAGGTCACGAAAGCTAGCCTCCGGGGCTAGTAGAGGTTCTTATCAACCAAAGGTTGCAACAAGGGGTGGGGGAAGGGCCCCCCAAAATCTAGTCAAGCGGTGCCGGTTTCTGCATTTTCTGCCTGACGACATCCCCTCCTTTTCGGGCATAAAAGCGGAGTGTTTCGGCTTGCCTTGGAATGGAGACACGAGCCGCCAATGATGCTCATGATGCTCGCCGCGCCGGCCCGGCCGGGCATCAATGATGCACATGATTCTTTTTGATTGGCTTGCTTGGCTCGTATCATGTTCGGTGCTGTGACTGTTCCAATCTCCTGCATTGCAACAAGCATGATTGTCTTTCAGTGCCTTCTTTGGCTGTTACGCTCATCCAACAAAACTCCGGCCGGCGGCATGTTTTTCCTTGAAAATTCCGCTTGCCTGGCTCGGCTTGTCCACTGCTGCTCTGCCCTAGCTTTCGTCCCAGTCGCTCCTCCACAAGTTTGTTGAATGCATGCTGGGAACGAGATGATGCAAGTTGAGCCGTAATCCTTGGAACTTCCAAACAAGGGGTGTCTCACTTCTGCGGTTCTGCCTGCTTTGCTGAGCTGTGGAGTGACGGCTGCTGTCTTCGATTATGGGAACTGGAATCTCGATAAGGTCTTCGATGTAGAGAATCTTGCAAAGGACTTTAGGCAAGGATATGGAGATCTCTGCAAAACCTTGTTTGGGGGACAGAGAGCTACTGCAGTGCCTCTACCATCGGCTGCCCTTCCTGTACAATGTAGCAGTCGCTCATGGTCGCAGTCTGCTTATGCAGTCACGAAGACGCTGTGCTCGTCGGGGGTTGTCTTCAGGAAGGAGCAGAGATAAAGGGAATGAGGTTTGATCGTGTAACGAAGGCAAGAACCATGATACAGGGTAGAATCCACCCAACCCCAGTACACTCCTAGCATGCAGGTGTCGGGCTTCCTGCAGCAGATGCGGGACAGCACCATTTGACAGAAGTGGTCTTCGGTGTTCAGAATTTTCGGGCTCTTCACGTTTAATGGGAGGAGCCAAGACCACATGCCTCAGCGCCTAGAAGAGACCCTGTGTTTAGACGGCTTCATGGATTGCACAGTTCATTGAAATTCAATATGACGGTAAGATCTGAGACGGCCGGAGCCGGGTACTTCCGTCACTGCCGCATCTTGCAGGAATGGGGCTCCGGAAAGCCGGGTGCTGAGTCCAGTCTCGAGTATGCTCGTGTGTGGCAGTGCATCTGTTTCGGAACATGTGAATCTGAGCAGTTGGCTAGAAGTGGAGGGACTGCCGAGTCCATTGTCAGAACAAGCCGTGAATTTTGTTCTCCGCTAGCTGACAGATGGCCTCGTCCACGGACTTGCATAACATCTCTACATGATTCCAAACTCGAACTTCTCGGCGACGTCGTGTTCGTATTAGTGTATTTTCGACGGTAGTACTTAGGACCAGCTTCAAACTGGCTACCCGTCCCTGCCAATATGCAGCTTCTGCAGACTGTGCATTCAATATTTGGGGCTAGGGCTTTGATCTCCATCCGGAGATCGAAAAAGCTTGACACCGGAGCTGCCACCCTCCAGCACTTTGCAGGATAGCAATGGCGTGGCGGACGTACTTTGACTCTGATGGAGACGGTGAGCTGGACTTTAAGGACACTTCATGGTGATGCTGTGAAGACACGAAGAATCAATTTCGGTGCTGTAAGCGTCAGTGGGTCCGCACACTGCCTGTCTGCTACTGTTATACTCACTAACATTGTGACCGCCGCAATATCGAGACGCTATTCGCTAACATCTCCAATCGTGTTGCCGGTATTGCCATTGTCCTGAAAGTTCGCCACGCGTACCATGACAGTGGCGCGGGAGGCCTACAGGCCTCACACATTGAATTCCTTGCCACGCAGGAGTTCTGTACGGGCCTCGCCAGCTTCGGCTGGAGGGTGCTGTGCTCGGTTCCGGCATCATAAGGTTTGCACAGGCCTATCAAAGCCAGCTAGAGTTCGTGCCAGTCTAAGAAGTACAGAATAGTGGAGCCATGGTAGTTAACATGTCTTTCGATATTGTACTTATCGTGATGAGGATGATGGCATCGACGAGGTTTTTCGTTATCGTTATGATGACTGTGGCTGTCATAGCCAATGTGTTTGCTCATACCGAAGGGTCATGAGACTTGAGACGGGGACCTGCGGTCCGCAGCATTTCGCCAACTCGAGATGTTTGTCACACAATCGTGTCTAACAGAGCGAGCCTCCAAGTCCCATGCTTGGCCCCCTGTCGACCAGGGTCAAGACTCAAATCGATGGCGCATCAGCACTCGTTGACTACTTTGAGCTCACACCAGGGCAACATTCCCCAGCTGTGGAAAGAGTTGGGGTACAACGAGAACGGCACGATGAACCTGGAGGCCGCATAGCAGTTCTTGGCATTTGACTTGTGATGGCTAGCTTCCTGCTAGACTTGCCACGCCCGGTGCTGGAATCACTTCAACCAAAGACCTGATAAGGAGAGGTTCTGCAAGATGAGTTCAGATCACAAGCTTCACGAGTCTTCTCGAAAGTGCGTGGAGAGACATGCTCTTGTGAACGGGACACCCCTGCGGCAAAGGAGGTCCCCTGGCGTTTGCGCTCTTGTCGGCTCAGTAGGGCAAATGTAGGGCAGCTGGTGGATCTGCTGGTACAATACATTGCAATTCGCTCTGATTGACAATGCCTGCTCCTCACTTTGCATTGCCTGCATTGCCAGCGCTTTAAGATCATTGGGCTGATTGGGCCATACTCGTTCGGGCGCACAGCTCCAAATTTTGACCTGACCAGTGATGAGTTTCTCTGAGCCAGGCTTTAGATCCGGAGCATGCTGCTTATCTGGAGGTGGGCAGCCCCCATGCTTTTTGGGGCCTACTCTTGCTGCAGTGTAGGAAATCACAGCGTAGATCAGCCCGGGAAAAGTCAATCGCCTGCTCGAATGATAGCATATTGATGTCCATGCTGGGTCGTCAAGAAACTCCCCTGTCGGGATTCTCGTGGTCGGCTGGAAGAGCCCAGACCCTAAATCTCTAAAGCCCTGAACTTGAAACCCTTGCATGTATCGTTTCAGAGTGTGTGGCATGATGTTGTGATTCTTGACTAGCCAGCGCGGATAACAGATATGTGGGCTGGGCAAATAGTCCTTCTGTGTGATGTACTGGGCATTGTGCTGTTGAGGATGCGTGGCGTTCAGTGGTAAGCCGGAGCATGCAGGTCCCGTGTGAGATGTGACAGGAGATGGGCCTGCTGCGAGGGGGGAGCGGGAGCAATAGGTAGTCTAATCCATGCAGCGACAGCATGCGACAGCATCATTACACCCATGCCGGTTCACCCAAACTGGCATTCTGCCCTGGACCCAAAAACCTTACAGCCCTAGACCCTCACGCCCGAAACCCCAAAACCCTGAAGCCATTGACCCTAAACCTAAACGAAAGCACGATGCCGGGCCATGGTCTTGGCCAGCGCGCCAGGCTTTCAGCCAGTGGTGCTCCAGAACCCGTGGGGGACCTGCAGAGGTCTTCCGGCCTGGAGCTTGGCATGCGGAGAGAGCAGGCAGGAACAATGAAGAGCCTTTCAGTTTTTGCTTTTCTTGTTCTTCTTCTTCTTCTTGTTGTTGTTGTTCTTGTTCTTGTTGTTGTTGTTGTTGTTGTTGTTGTTGTTGGTTGTTGTTGTTGTTGGTGGTGTTGCACAAGTTGGCAGTGGTTTTTCAGAGCACAGTTTGGCAGTGGTTTTTCGGGTTTA